GTGAGGTTTTTTTTTTTTCTCTTCCTAAAAGCTGCCATTAATTGTATGACATTTTAGAATCTAGAAAAAGAGAGATGGGTTTGAAATATAGGAAACTGCTTTGTTTGAGGGGTTAAAAAATGGTCAAATCTCGGCATTTTCCTTTGGTTCCACTTAATGGTATGTTGTGACGCATTATCCCTTTTAGCTCTCCTAGCAACCTCACCAAGCAGGTATTTTTAATCCACTTTGGAAGAGGATGCCCAGACCCGGAAAAGCTGAGTAGCTTTCCTAAGGTCACAGAGCTAGTGAATGAGGAGGCAGGGCCGGGACCCAGCCCCACCTGGCCCCATTGTCCACGTTTTTACCACTGTGTAGAACCCCTGCCTAACTCACCTACAAAGGACCTTGGGGATCAATCCCAGAATTCCTTTCTGAAGAAAAGAAAATGTTTTGGTATCTTCTTAGGAGAGAAGTGAGGGTCCGAGGAAGAGAGGAGAGATGTCATCCCCAAATTCACAGGCGCCCATCTCAGGAGTCGCCTGCCAACCATGGCATTAAGAACTTCACTTCATTCCCCTTTCGTTCTATGTAGCCACATGGTTCTGAGTCCTGAGGACCCAAGTTCACCCCGTGTGCACACCTGGCATTTTCCATGAGAGACCTGAATGGCTGGTACCCAGCAGCATACCAGTAACAACCACTAACCAGGTGCCGTGTACTCAGCTCGGCCAGACGCCCACCCATGCCCAGCCCACACCTCCTCCTCCTCCACGGGCTTGCCCTGGCCTCCCAGACTGGCCTACTGCCCCTGAGAGTCAAGCCTTGTGGTGCCTTTACCTAAAAGCCCTTCTCTTAAATGTACAACTCAGAGAAGAATATAGGCATCTTCCCAGCACAACTACCCCAGCTCCCCATGCCTCCAAAATAGGATGAGCCTCAAGTTTGGTTAATTCCATTCTGCTGCCTTCAGGTTTGAGGCCAGAGTTAACCAAACCCAAAAGATAACCCAGTTCCTTGCCCCAAACTCACCATCTAACCCACCGGGTCTCACCCCACTGGAGCTATTAACTGATACTAATTACATCACCCCTTCTTGCTCAGCGGAGCCTTCCTGGAGTCCTGATGCGTTTGGGTGCTGGGGAACTAGAGTGAAAGATACCAACAAAACCTCTAGCTGGAGGAAATGCACGGGAAAGGGCACAGAGCAGACGCCTCAACAAGCCCAGATGAATTCGAGGATAGAGTGGGGAGTTTTCTCATGGGGCTCTGGTGTCTGAAAGAGAGGTGGCCAAGAAAGCCTTGAGAAAGGCAGCATTTGGGGTCCTGACCTTGGGAGCATCACCATCAACCTTCACATAGTGTCCAGCACTTAGTAGATGCCCAATAAATATTTGAAGAAAGAATTAATGTGTGAATGGCTACATCACTTAGCACATGGTGTAATGTTCACATTCATGAAAACTTTAGGGGATAAATGAATAAAACCTGGGGAACTGTCAGGGTCCACTTTGACCCTTGACTCTTCCTCTTTCCCTTTCTCCTGAACTTCTACTACTTTCATCATAATTATCCTGTTTCCTCATGGGGCAGATTTTTTTTCCAATAATAGACTACATTTTTTAGAATGGCTTTAGCTTTACAGAAAAATTGAGAAGGTAGCACAGAGTTCCCCATACAACCCCTCACCCACATTCCCCTATTATTAACATCTTACCTGGTATGGTACATTTGTTTTAATCAATGAGCCAACACTGATACATTATTATTAGCTAAATTCCATACTTTATTCCTATTTCCTTAGTTTTTGTCTAATGTCTTCTGCTCCAGGATCCCATCCAGGACACCACATTACTCGTCTTGGCGGAGACCACTTCTCAAGACTCGTTTTTTGGTGACCTTGACAAAATTTGAGGAGTATCGGTCAGATATACTATAAAGGATGCCCTCTAGTGGAATAGGGGGTGTTTTTCTCATGGTTAAACTGGGGTTGTGGATTTAGAGCAGAAGACTACAGAGGTTAAGTGCCTTTCCCACCACATCAAGGGCACACACTCTCAACATGAGTATTCCCTGCTGGCGTTGACCTTGATCACCTGGCTGAGGGTGGTGCCTGTCAAGCTTCTCACCTGCAGAATTACTCTTTTCCCCTTTTCCCAACTGTTCTCCTTGGAATCGAATCACTATGTGCAGCCCTCCCCTAGGAGTGGGCAATGATGCTCCTCCCAGGTAACTTTTAAGCACTTGAGGATTGTCCCTTTGGACCAGACGTGGCCAGCCCTTGCCTTTACTTTCTCAGATGACACAGCACACACTGAAGTTAGACCACCACCAGTCAATCAGTCAATCAGCTGCCAAAGAAGAGCACCAGCTGCTCAGGCCTCTGTCACAGGCCACCGAGTCCAGGACGTGGATCTTCCTTTATTCCTTCACCCGAGGTGGTTAGACACTTGCTTATTTTTCCGTGGTTTTCACGGGTTGGAAACCGGACACAGTATCTCACTGAGCTCTCTGCTTAGGGTCTCACAGAGACCCGAAAACAAGGTGTCGACAGGGCTGTGTTCCTTTCTGGAACCTCCAGGGAAGAATCCCACCTGCAAGCTCATTCAGGTTTGGGTAGAATTGAGTTCCTGGTGGGTGTAGGACAAAGGCTCCATTTCCTTGTTGGCTGCTAGCTGGGGGTCCCATTTTCCTCCCAGAGCTGTTGCCCGCATTCCCCCACTCAAGCTTGCCATGTGGTCCCCCTCATTTGGAAGCCAGTGACAGCACATCAGGTCCTTCAGGCTTCAAATCCCTGTGACTTCCTCTTCTCCCCAGTCCCTTCTGAATTCCTCTTCTGCCTCTAATTTTAAAAGTCTTTTTTTTTTTAAGATTTTATTTATTTATTTGACAGAGAGAGACACAGCGAGAGAGGAACACAAGCAGGGGGAGTGGAAGAGGGAGAAGCAGGCTTCCCGCCGAGCAGGGAGCCCGATGCGGGGCTCGATCCCAGGACCCTGGGATCACGACCTGAGCCGAAGGCAGACGCTTAACGGTTGAGCCACCCAGGCGCCCCTTCCTCTTCTGCCTCTAATTTTAAGGGCTTGTGTGATTACATTGGGCCTGCCCTGATAATCCAGGATAATATACTTACCATAAGGTCAATTTAAACCTCAGTTAGTAACCTTAATCACTCTTGCACAGCCCCTTTTGCCCTGTAATGTAACGTATTTACAGGCATGGTATCTCATGATATTCTCAGTCCCAGGGATTTGGGGGATACAGTCTTCCAGGGGACCATAACTGTGCCCAGCACACGGTGCTTCTCAAACCTTAGTGTGCATGGGAATCATCCCCAGAGCTCGGTATTGTGGCTTCTGAGTCAATGGGCCTGGGGTGAGCGTCTGCATTTCTGACAGGCTCCCAGGCCTCACTGTTGCTGGCGGTCTATGGAACACATCTTGAGTGGCAGGCTTTAGACCAGGGGAAACAAACGTAATAGCCTCCAGCTCAGGTCAAACTCAAGAGAGAATATCCCTACATGCCTATGGCTCTCAAACCTAAGAGAGCACCAGAATCACCAGAAAACTTGTTAAAATATAGATTGCCGGGCCCCACCCCCAGTGTTTCTGAGTCAGAAGGTCTGGAATGGCACCTGAGAATCTGCATTTCCAACGCACCCAGGTGATGCTGATGCTGCTGGTCCAGGGACCACACTTTGAGAACCACCGCAGGAAGCCTTGAGACAGGCGATCACTTTGTGAGTGTTGAGAGGAGCGTTTAACACCTTTTGGTCATAAGGCATCATCTTTGAAAGCAGAATTCCTTTGTCCAATATTGATTGCATCCCCATAGGCACCTCGGTGGATCACGTCCGAGGCAACATGGTGCCTTTAATCAAACAGTCGAGTCCCTTTTCATGTGTTGAGCTGTAACCTTCTGCTTTCGGGAGCACGATGAAATAGATTCAAGAATATCTCAAACCACGGACGTCATCAGTTGTCCCAAACACGTCTTTTAAAAATCAAAAATAATATTTATTGTGCATATTACAAAAACAACACTTAGTTGTTTGTTGTAGAAAATGCAGGTAAAAAGGGAAAACCTTGTAAGCCCACCCAAAGGTGGCAACTCTACTCTTCCATTTTCTATACATATCTGTCAATCCACGTATATATACGTAAAGGGTTTTATTTCCAAAAATACATGGTACACACTGTGTTGTAACCTACTTTTCTTAATATATTGTAAATGTCTTTCTACTTCATCCCCATTTTCAGCCCCTAGTTTCAACCCCCTTCACCCAGTAAAAAGTATCAAATGCTGTGATTCATGGCTTCCCTCCCACGCACCTGCAGATGAAGGGAGATTGTTGACCAGCAGTGGGTCTCAAGGGGGAGAGGCGAAAACATGAAGGACATGGGGCAATCAGAAACAGGCTCTTTTGTCCCTGTGTGATCAGAGGCAGCTGTAGCTCTGTCCCCCCCCCCCCCCCGCTTTTTTTTTTTTGGAAAAAGTGATTCAGCTGAGCATTCCTGGATCCGGATGTGCCTCAGCACCAAAATCACATTCCTAAGAAGCTGAATCAGGAGCATTTGTGTCTGGGTAATGGAGAGCAGTCACGGGATCACAAGGGCTTCCTGCTGCTATTTTCGGGATAATTCACTGCTTCCAGAGTTCTGGAGTATTGATAAAGGTGTGTTTGGGGTAAAAACTTATTTTCCACTCTGTGAGCTGTGACACTTGCTCTCCAATGGGTGGTAAATGACTGGGGCGAGAGAGAAGGATTTAATTACAAATTAAGCTTTCACCAGTGAACAGACCAGAAACAGACAACAGACAAGCACAGCAAGCACATCCAGGGCCTGCTGAGCAAACTGAGTGTATGAGTGTATGAGTGTCTGGTGGGGGGGGTGGGGGGGGTTTCTTGGAACCTGCCAGAAGTGTGCGGGCCCCTCTCGCCTGGGGGCAGGCATTCCTACCGACAGCTTGGATGAGGCCGCGCAGGGCCCAGCACTGTAACCGTTCTTTTTTTTCTGCAGAACGAGGTCATCAGCCAGCAGCTGTGCGTCATCTTCACCCACTGCTATGGGCCCTACCCCATCCCCAAGCTCACGGAGATCAAGCGCAAACAGACCTCGCGCCTGGGTGAGTGGTGCTATGGTTTGAGGACGCAGAGGTAGCAAACGCCCCCAGAGAAGCTAGGCGGTGTTGGAGGGCACATGAGACGGATACAGGAGTCAGGCAGGTGGAGATCATGGTATCACTTATCACGTGATAACTGGAGACTATACCTTGGAAATGTGGACGAGGAGACTGGCCAATACCTCGTCCCTCTAAGGGCCTTTGTCCCGCGGAGACAGACAGACGGACAGCCCCGGGGCCCGTGCACTTCCTGCAGGCAGGTAGATTCCCCATTCCGAAGGAAGGCTGAGCTGTGCAGGCAGTTCTCCCCCTCCCCTCTAAGAAGTCCCTCTTCCTCCCTGAGGAGGAACAAGCAGGGGACAGTGACAGGCCAGCAGTGTTCCTCTAATGGGGTCCCTCTGCAGGGACGCAGGAGGAGAGGAAACAAGTGACCTCCCCCTCCACACACACACAGACACACACACGGGGAACGTACCTGAGCTGAGGATACTGGACACTCTGAAATCCCATCGAGTAGCAGTAATCCATTTTGCTTCTGCTTGGATACGGCATGGGGCTGGCGCCAGCCAAGCACTTGACCTGCCCCACCTCAGGTAACCCTGAGGCCACCCCAGGGGGCAGGCACTGAGGGCCACGCTGTGTCTCAGCTGAAGAAAGGGAAGGTCGGTGCTACTGCACAATCACTTCAGGTGGGGCTGGAGCTTCCCAGCTCCTCCCAAAGCCGTAATTCCTTCCCGCTACAGTCCCAGCTTCTGGAATTTTCCAGAAAAAACCTTTCCATCAGGCATTGATTCCATTCAGAGGATCCTGGAGCTGTTGCTATAAGCTAGCTGATCAGTCTGAGAAAAAAAGCAAAGAAATGCTGGGCTGCCTTGAAGCCTGAAACACGACCCTTCTGTTGCAAGGGCCTTTCTCCTTGCTGCCTGGGGAATGACAAAATATTCAAGATAAGGAATGCCTTTTCCAATAAGGTTGGGGACTTTCCTACTCCCTCTGAACTTTTCCTGTAGACATCTGAGAAATGGGAGCATCTGAAAGTGCTATTCTTTAGCAGAACCATTATGTTTGGAATAGGTGAGCTAGTTAAAATTAGTGAAAAGTCTGAATTCCTGGAACCGTTTTAAAATACTTTTGTTCCTGTCATGAAGAACTTGCTAATTTAAATGATGCAACTTTTCGACTTAGTAATCAAGTCAAATCTTGTCTGTTTTCCTCTGTGCCCATTGATGTGGGCAAACTATGATGTACCAAAACCACAAATATTTCTACCTTGTAGAAAGCAGGTGTTGATTCAAATGTTATCAGGGCACCACATTACAAAGACCAATCATATTAACAAACTTCAGAGATTGAAGTTTAGTTACATTCCCAGGCCATAGCAATCATGTCTGACATCTCGCTGCCTTCACAAGACCCCCTCGTTAGAGCAAACATTTGCAAGGGCCGATTCAATGACACAACATAAAATCTGCTTTCCTGTAGTTATAGGTAAGGAGGGAACATTTTTTCCTCCTGAATTTGCTGAGCGTTCTTTCACCCGCAATTAAAAGGGCCTGGTTTTCAGGCCAAGCAATAGAATTCTAGGGGTTAGCACCGAGAGAAGAAAGGCAGGCCTGAGAGGCTCAAAGCTCACAATATGGGAGAAGAGGGGCAGAGTCTAATTATGAATAAGTAGAATATGGAACACGTAGGGTTTGCCTCTTCAGTAGAGCATTTCCAGCTAGGATAACTGAAAGTTGCCAAACAGTGGTTCTTTAGGGACCTGCTTTAAAGGAAAGATAAGAGTGATCAGTGATAAGCGTCCCAAGCTGGAATTTCTAAAGAGCCAGGAGGCCATATGAGTGAATGAAATGGGTTCCATGTAAGACAGTAGGGAATGGTGGGGACTATGGCACACTGATGCCTGATTTTTTGTGACACGTTGTCCTCTTCCCCTCCCAGTGAATTCTGGGAGAGAGTGGTTAGAAGAGCCACAGGTAGGAGACCTTAGCAATTTGGGAAACAGGAGTAGGGCTGGTTGGTGGCAGACAGTGGGAGTGAGAGGGGGTGGTTGCTGAGAAGAGGGAGAACATCATTCCAAACTTTTAGTCTTTAAAGCAAGGGGAGAAGTGAATTTTAGTCAACTCCAAGGACTTCTCCTGTGGCCTCTCTTCTGTTCATCTGGGTTGTTTAGAAGTATGTGAGTTTTTTCAATAAAATATTTTAATGATAGTGGGATTACAAGTGATTTTGACTATTTTATGCTTTTTTGATATGTTCTAAGTTAAAACTTTTTTTTAAAGGGAAGAAGTGAGTAGCTATATGTAGCGACAGAAATATGAACAGAGGGCCGCCTTATGGGGCTGCATAGGGACTGAGGGGCCATCCCACCTTCGAGGGATGGAAGAGGAGAGTCTGCCAGGATGGCAAATTCTGGGTCCAAGTAACAGCAGGGTCTGGGCAAAATGGGGCCAGGCCAGGGATCCAAGATACAACTGTCAGGGTGGGCCCAGCAGCTGGGATCATGGCCCCCAGGAATCCAGGGGGTTGGTCCCCACCCCCAATGGTTAGGACAGCCTAAACCCAGCCAAAGGAAGCAGCTAGAGTTTCATTTCAGGACAGCCCTTTAAGCCCTGGGCGAGGCCCAGCAACAAGCAGGTCCCCAGGCTAAGAAGGGGTCTGATGTCCCCCACAATGTTTTAAGAACAAGACTGTGAAACAAGGGTCAAGGCATTCTTATGCTCATTCAAAAAAATATTAATGAAGCATCTACTACGATGGTCATGTTTATCGAGAGGAGTGCTGTGTGTCAGCCATGTTGCTGAGTGCTTTGCAAAAATCCACTTAATGCTCACTGAAACTCAGGTGTAGATGTACAATGGGCATCACCCATTAAACAGAAGGGGAGAGAGAGGCTCAGAGAGGTTAAACAACTTGCCGAAGGTCACACAGCTGAGAGCTCTGGCTTCAGAGCCCACCCCAGGGGCCACACAGGTTCTGTGAGAGCACAGGTGGGGGATGCTTGGTCAGTCTGAGGAGGGCGGGGGAATCAGGCAAGGCTTAGTGATGGAAGGTGTCTGCATTGAAGCTTGAAGACCACATGGATGAGCCAGGTTTGGAAGGGGTTGGAAGAGTGTTCTGCGTAGAAGGAACAGCAGGTGAAGGGCCAGAGCTGAGAGCGTATAGCCCTGGTGTGGCTCAGCACGCACGCTGGTTGACAGGGGGATGTGACTGGGGAGAGGCCAGAGAAGGCAGCGGGAGCCCAGTCACCGGGAGCCTTGTTAAGAAGTTTGGACTCTATCCTGGGAGCGCTGGGGAGCTATGGAAAGGTTTATAGCGGAGGAGGAGTGTGATCAGATCTGCCTTTAGGAAAGATGACTGTGGTGAGGTGGACCATCGGATTGAGGGGCCAAGAGTGGAGGCAGACACCAAAGAGGCTCCTGCATGTCCCCAGACAAGAGACCACGTGGTGGCCCTAGGGAGGGCTGCGGCATTAGGGATGGAGAGAAATGGGGGAATTGAGACACACTTAGGAGGAAGAGAAGACAGTGTTTGTGATAGACTGGGTCTGGGTAAGCCCAGGAGAGGAAGGTGTCCTGTTGCCTTTGAACCCTGGCTTGGGCAGCGGATAGATGGTGGTGCCATTCATGGGACCAGAAGCACTGGGCAAGGCACATTTTGCAGAAAGAATCTTTTTCACCTGAGCTGAGAACGCAGTGCATCCTCAGACTGGGGAGCTTGGGTGCAGGTGCCCCCAGAGAGGTCATCTTCCATTTAGAGTCTTCTAAAGACCCTCCCTGGGGCAGCGCAGCCCAGGTGGGCTCAGGGCAGACCTAAGAGGAAGCCCCACCAGAGGTTAGACCCACCTTGCCCTCGACCCTGTGTCCGGACTGACTTAGGACCTGAGCGGGGCCTTAGCCAGTCGGGGCAGGGATGTTAGTGGATGTTCCCAAGCAGCAGAAGCCCTGAGCTGAGGACAGACTGGCACCTTCAGGAGCTCCGGGTCTCCGTGGCTAGAGTGACAGGCAAATCGGGGTTGAGGGGGGCAGGGGGGAGGCGGGGAGGATCCTAGTGTTGAACAAGGCCGGCGCTCCAATCCGAATGCCCGAGTTCAAATCCTGGCTCCTCCACCTGTCACTGGCTTGAACGTCTGTGTGCCTGCTTCCCCAGCTGCACAACGGACAGTGGTCCCTGTCCCCCGGGACCCAGCGCGTTTGCGCATGTGCAGGCCAGCTTGCACAGTGCCTGGCCCGTCCTAAGGGCTCAGTACCAGCTCTACCTTCTTTGTTATTGTTGGAGACGAGAGCAGGGAACTGGTTCGCATGCCTCTGACTCTGGGAGAGAAGCGCTTGGATTTCAAATCACCTAGAAAACCCCTTATCCATCAGGCAGGGAGGGCCCTGAGCCCAAGAAGGAGGAGCTAAGGTGGGGGGGTGGCATTCTTCAGAGGCAAGGTGGGCATACCTTTACCTTTCACATCCAAAAGTCATCTGCATCAGGCTGGGGATGGGTCTCCTCTGAGGAGATGCTACTTTTAATCACAACTAAGCTATGAAGATTTCCAATGCAAAAGTGAATTTCTGTGGTTTGAGTGCTCCTTTGATTGGTTCTGTCCCCTGTTGGCTCACTGTCTCGCCAATGAGTATCGTATCCCCATGGTTTCCCTGTTAGCTCTTCTTGGCGCTTTCCAGAAGAGGAATGCAAACTTCACCCTTCTCTCCACTAAAGCTGCACTCTTTCCCCTTCCTATTCTAGATCCTCATTTCCTTAACAATAAAGAAATGTCCGATGTTACCTTTCTGGTAGAAGGAAGACCGTTTTACGCTCACAAAGTGCTGTTATTCACGGCCTCTCCCAGGTATGTACTGTAATAGTTCTCTGAAATTCAATTTTGAGGGTTACCTTCCCTAGACGGGAAGATTACTTTTTCAAAATCAAGAATTCAAGAGCAGAGGGCATTCGTGTCCCCGTGCTCACACCAGCATTCTTCAGAGCAGCTAAAAAGTAGAAGCCACCCAAATGTCCATCGGTAGATGAACGGATACACAAAATGTGGCATATACATATTTTATTTAGCCTTAAAAAGGAAGGCAGTTTTGACAAATGCTACAACATGATGAGCTCTGGGGACATTATGCAAAGAAATAAGCCAGTCACGAAAAGATAGTGTATGATTCTATTTATAGGCAGTACCTAGAGTAGTCAGCTTCGTAGGGACAGAAAGTAGGATGCTGGTTGCCTGGGGCTGGGGGCAGGGGAGGGTGGGGAGCTGTTGTTTAATGCGTCCAGAGTAGGTTCTGGAGATTGGTTGCACAACAGTGTGAATACACTTAACATCTCTGTATGCTTAAAATGGTTAAGACGGTAATTTTTCTAGTACGTGTTTTTTTACCACAGTCGTAAAGTACAGAGCAGCCTCTGGCTTAAACAGCCGTGCCTTTGTGTGACTCAGGCAAGGGCACCCATTCCTCTGGGCGCACAGAGTATGTACCAGGCACAGAGCTTTGGAGCAGAGTGTGGATGGGACTTTAGCTCCCCCCGGCCCAGTGCCCTCACACAGTGTCCAGCCTGAAACGTCTCAGGCCTGCTCTCCAGATATCCCAGAACTCTGGCATAAGCCACCCCAAATACACAGGTCTTGAACCTGACTTTTCCCTAACTGTGGACCCAACAAGGGCATAGCCCCCTCCCTGACAGCTCTGCAACTGCCCTTTGTCCTTTCGATCTGAGTTGAAATGAGTTGACCATTTAGAACCACATTATCCAAAGACCTGAACTGGGATCAGTGAAGGTGCGCAGAGGAGAAAGGAGAGGCCGGAGATGAGGAGGCCGCCGGGGTAAGCGGAGGGGTGAGGACACTGTGTACCCAGAAATGGAACCTACTGCCAGAATGTTTGCTGATGAACCTGTGTGACCAGCACTCCCTGGGTTCCCCTGGCCTCCCACTGCCTACCCCCAAAGCCAAATACAAGCCCCAGATGTCTGCTCTGCCACCACGAGAAAAATATGCTGTGCCTTACATGGTTCTCCATTACGATGCATAGAAAAGCAGGAGAGATGTTGTCCCAGGGGTAATTCTTAGTTTTGACGGCCATGGATGTGTAGGACGCTACCATTAGGGGAAGCTGGGCGGAGGGCGTATAGGAGCTCTGTATTGTCTTTACACTTCGTCTGCAAATCTATCACTATTTCAAAATTAAAAGTTTAAGAAAAGAGACACAGTTTAGCTTATTCCTAAAGGTGTATCGATGTGTTCCCAGCCAGGCACCCCTGAAGTTAAAACTTTAAAGTTAAAAAGAGTGGTTCAGGGGAGCCTGGCTGGCTCACGTCAGAAGAGCATGCAACTCTGATCTCAGGGGTGGTGAGTTCGAGCCCCGCGTTGGGCGGAGAGATTACTTAAATAAAAAACTTTTTAAAAAGTAATGAAGTTGTAACTTCAGATTCAAGGATGACATCATACTGGGGTTGCGGTCGCATTAGGACATCTGTGGCTATATCATTAATGTATTGCAAAGTGGGGGGAATACAGGATTTTATGTGTCTCTCTCATCAGAGAGTGGAGTTTTTTGCAAACCATAGATGTGTTTGTGGGTCTTTTTATCTCCCTTCTTGTGTCCTTGTTCAGGTTCAAAGCGCTCCTGTCCAGCAAACCAACAAATGACAGCACCTGCATAGAGATCGGTTACGTGAAGTACCCCATCTTTCAGGTGAGCCGCCCCCGTCCCCCCGTGGCCTGGAACATCATGCTGGTGGGCACAGGGCACGGGCCTTCCCTGAAGACATCCACCTGTGGTTTGGCTACTGTAGAGTCATCAGTCCCCTGACTCTGGGCTCCTTCTCCCACCCCTTCCAGTTTACCATCGTTTTATCCCTACAGCATTTATTGAGCACTTCCTGTATACTTAGCACTCTGCTGGGACCTGGGGACACAAGGATAAATGACCTTCCTCCCCTGGGGCCCCACAGTCCAGAGGGGGTAACTCTGAGTAACTAATCTCCTACAGTATAATGTGGGGATGGGCAGGAAAGAAAGGGCGGGGAGCCAACGTGCTCTGGCAACTCAGACTAGTGAAATCAGAGAAGGCCTCCTGATGAGGCATTAGCTGGAATAGTGAAGGCTGTGGAGAAGTTGGGGAACCATAGGAAGGCTTAGCGCTTAAAAAAGGGGGTTAGGAGATGCTTGGCAGAGAACAGCAGGGATGAGGTCCCAGAGCTGTGGTTGAGCCTAGTGTGATCAGAAGCCAAAGATGTGCTGTCCTCCCACCTGCCAGGGTTAGTGAGCCGACGATGTGGGGGACCCCGGGGCTGGAATCTGTGGGATTCTGAGCAGGATCTCGTTCCTGCAGTTCAGCTCAGGAAGCACAGCCCTGGGAAGAGCACACAGGTGGCTGAAGCTCGGGCAGGTCCGTGGGGGACTCATGCTCCAAGAGGGGTGTTGAGACTGCTCAGAGATCATGGGGGATGGGGGACGAGGCTGACTGTGACCAGCGTAGCAGGGCAAGGCTCCTGATCTGGACTTGGGAGGACAGAGCTGCAGTCCAGGACTGAAGAGCGGCATTTTCCTGTTTAAAATCAGTGTCTATCACGGGGCCTTGGGCAATTCACCAGCCCTTCCAAGGCTCCTTTCCTCATCTGGTGGATGGGAGAGAGGGGGTACCGCAGGGGGTGGAACAGCATAAACAAAGGCACAGTAGTGGGAAGTCATGGGGTGTGTTTGAGGGAAAGTGATTATCAGTCTATTCGGACAGGTCCTAAAGTATATTGGAGATTGGACCACGGCAGGCAGAGGGAGAAGCAGGCTCCTTGCTGAGCAGGGAGCCCGATGTGGGGCTCGATCCCAGGACCCTGGGATCATGACCTGAGCCGAAGGCAGACGCTTAACGACTGAGCCACCCAGGCGCCCCATCTGGATTTTTCTTGCCAGTTTTAGAAATGAAGAAACTGAGGCTCAGAAAACTTAAATCCTTTGCCCCAGTCTTAGTGCTACTTAGGGACAGAGCCAGGATTGGAACCCAGTCCACCTGGTGTCAAAGCCTGGACACTTGGTTCTGGAATCCCCTTCCTAAAGGGGAACAGTGGTAAGATCAGCTCCCATTTCTTGAACGCTGGCTGTATGTCAGGCTCAAAGCCAGTGCTTCTCAAACCCCTGCTGGACACTGGAGTCACATGGGGGGCTTTAAAAATTTCCCGTGCCCAGGCCATCCATCAGAACCTGGGCTGGGGCCCAGGCATCAGCATGTTGACGTTTCTGCCTTCCTCCCCTTGTCCCAGAGTGCAGCCAAGGTGGAGAAACCATTCTCCACACTACGGTGGCTCTCCACCTTGAGCAGGTACCGGAATCTCCAGGGCAGAGGAGGAAGGGGTTGGCTTGATAAGACACCAAAGTTGAAATGCAGAGTCCTGGGCCCCACCCCCAGAGTTCCAGATTCTGTGGGCCTGGACTGGGGCCCCAAGAATTTATATTTCTTACAAGAACCCAGGTGATGCTGCCGGTCCAGGGACCCCGATCTAAGAACCACTGCTATATGTCACCTTATTCCATCCTTCCAGCTGCCCCAGGACACAGACCCAGAGAGGGGAAGGAAGTGGCCCAAGCTCAGGCTGCTCATCACAGCCACACTGAGGTTGGAGCCAGGCCTGGCTGACTCCCAGACCTGATCTCCTAACTGCCTCCCTACTGTGGGGACTTGGGCCCTCCCCAAACCTCACCCAGCCCTGAGGAAAGAATCGTAGGCCCATTAGAGTCTGAGCATGAACTAAGTGCTGGAAAATGCACACCTCCCCACCTCTCCTGAGTGCCCGTGAAGGGGGCACCTGAGCCATTAAGCCTGGAGCTAATTGGGGAGGTTCCCGTAATAAGAACCTTGTAGTAGGCATTCAATCCGTGTTTGCCATGCAGATCCATTGAATGAGAGCCCTATGTGGGAAAGCTCGGCCCCAGAGGACTCCGAGGCCTGTAATTGCTTTTGACTGGGAAAGGTTTCCTGACCACATTAGCCTCAAGTTACTGTAACGAGGAGGGACGATTTAGCAGACCCCGGGGAATTCTCTGTGTGCTTGCCCCTTCCCCATAAAAGAAGAAAAGCCTCATTTGTGGCTTGAAATAGGCTGAGGAGGGCTGAATCCAACCCAGAAGGAGGCTCCCAGGGGCCTGTTCACTTCACTTCCATGCCGACAGAAGAATTTTAGTAAATGAGACTGCCTTGCGTTTCCTCCCCGCAAGACTGTTTAGCGTCACATGCAGGCGAGCGCTGGATGCAGCCGAGGCTGCACCTGGGGCCTCCGGGAGGCCGTGAATGCCGATGAACTGAGGGCTTCATGCAGGTATCAGCTGCCAAGAGAAACAACTCCATAAACAGGCCCTTTGGCCTCATAAGGCTTCGTTTGCCCCCTTGCAGAAAAGGCCTGTGTTGGCAGAGTCCGAAGGCAGAAAGGGCCAGCCCAATTTAAATCCCATTAGCCCCAGGATCTCCATCCGCTAAGGAAGAGGCATTTTCAGTCCACAGCCTGACCCTGAATAAATGAGATGACACAATGGAGCAGTGCTTTGTAAACGGAGGGGCCCTGTGTTCGGGGCAGTTGCTGTTACGGGTCTTACTGTTGTTGTTATTGGTTTGACCATTATAAAAGAGAGGCGCCAGGGGAATCCGTTGACGTTTGTAAGAACGGGATCCCACCATTCGCTGACGTGGTATTTTAGATGCCCATGAGCCATCAGCATGGGGGTGGGGGGGGACCCGAGGCCGTGTGGTCCTTTCACAAAGTCTCGGCCACCACTGTCAACACACCGCCATCTCGGCGACAGGGGGGTCGTTGTGGCATCCCACAGTCAGCACACAGAGGCCCAAACACAAAAGGAAAGGAGAGGGCTCGTGTTTCTGTTTAAAGTGCGCTTGCTGAGCGCAGGCACTGTGCCAGGCGCGGGAACGCAGAGATGGGCGGCCCCCGCCGGTGCCCTCGAGCTCTAGTGGGAAGTCACACTGCAGTCGTGGATGAGGTGCTGCCCAGCCTCGGGTTGCAGCTAGCAGATCTGAGAAGACTTCAGCAATGTGACCACTGAGCTAGATCCCAAAAGAGGGGGCCGAGTTCAACAGATGGAGAATCCGGGCAGAGGGAACAGCTTGGGCAAAAGCGTGGGACCAAAAGTGGTGGTAGGTTCGGTTAAAGGCAAGTGGTTGGGAGTGGTCAGACTATAAAAGGTAGATGCTGTCGCGATTAGGAGGAGAGAGAAGGGCAGAGTGGCAGATGAGATCGGAAAAAGTACATTGATCCATAGCCACTGGATTCCGAACAGCAAAAAAATTGGGAACAGTCCAAATGTCCCCAGGCTGATGAAAGGATACACAAAATGTGGTACGTTGTTCAGCAATAAAAAAGAATGAAGGAGAGATCTGTGACAACGAAGGTGAACCTTGAAAATGGGACGCAGCCAGACCAAAGAGCACCTGTTGTAGGATTCCCCTCATATGAAATGTCTGGAGCGGGCACATCCACCGTGGGTGTCAGGACTGGCCCAGGAGGAAATGGGAACAGTGGGTAATGGGCACAGGGTTTCTCCTAGAGGTGTTGGAAATGTTCTAAAATTAGACGGTGGGACGGTCGCACAACATCATGAATCCACTAAAACCACTGACCTGGGCACTTTAAACAGAAGCAGTTTGCACTATGTGAAATATAGCTCAGTAAAGCTGTAAACACTGTATTTTTTTAAGACAACTATTACTTGTAAACACACATGCAAAAGGTAGATTGAAATCAGTCACAAAGGACCTCGAATGACCTGAGTGAAAACACAGCAGAGGCACTACTGGAGAAAGATGTTTCCACCTCAGAAAAATCAAAGAGCCAACATTTACTGAGTTCTTGCCACGTTCCAGGCCCTTGCTAGCCCTGTTCCATGTCATGTAATCCTCATCACATGAGGTATGTAATGTTAGCCCCACTTTACAGATGATGAAACTGAGGCACAGAGAGCCTAACCTAATTCAGGTCACCCAGTGTTTAAGTGGCAGAACCTGATTGGAAACTGAGGCAGCCCCAGTGCAGGGTCCTTGCCCTTCACCACTGCCCTCTGGTGGCCACAGACCCACTGGAGCCTGCAGGGACCTTAGCGCACAGCCCAGCCCCAGGGCCTCATTTTACAAGTGCCCAGAGATGGGATGTAGCCAGTCTACAGATGTTTCCAGCACAGCTGCCGTGGGGCGAGACAGGGAGTCCGTGTGTCATAAGGCAGGCAGAGGACGATGGTGGAGAAGACCATGCCCACTTGGAAAGCCTACGCACCACCTAAAAAATTAACAGCTTCATGGGAAGTGGTGGCGGCCAGTTCTGCACATCTGGGGACCTCGTTCTAAAGGGACGCCAGTTGGCAAAGCTCTGGGACTTGGCACACCATTCAGGCCTCCTGAATCACATGAACAGAGCACAGCCTGGCTCGGACTGCTCACACCATCAACGAGACATTGAAACCCCCGACCCCTGACAGCTTCATCCCGGATCAGGTAGTCCCGTGGTAGCCCAGAGTCTCTCTCTGGATTTAAGTAAGAATGGTCTAATCAAACCGGGCCATGCTCCCAGAGGGGAACAGCCGCTGGTGCAGGCTCTTCAAGCCAAGTGTTTTGGGGGCAGCCGGATGGGGTGGGAGGTGGGAGGGGAGAGCGCCGATTGCCATCTCTAGATGGAGAGCAGAGCTGGGGGTGCACCTGGAACCCAGCAGACCCACAGGGAGACAAATGGCAGCACGCAATAAGGAAAACTATCCAACTAGGAAATGTGTCCTAAGTGGAACTTCTCCCACAAGGCAGCGATCCAGCAAGAGCAGATGTTCTAGAGGGACGCACAGACTGCTCGGCTGTAAGAGGATTGTGTCTGTGTGCTGACCCCGGACTGACGCTCTGCTCTCTGTGTCCTTTCTTCCAGCTGGTCATGCAGTATCTCTACCATGGTGGCCCAGAGTCACTGCTCATTAAAAACAATGAGATAATGGAGGTAAGGCATCTGTTGTGCTGTTGGGTGGGTGGCATCTCTGTAAACTCAGGGCACCGACATGTGTTGGCAGTGTCTGGGGGGGACCTGTGTTGGGTTTTCACTTGGGTGCAGACTTTGGGGTCCTGCCTGCCTCCTTGGGCCTCCCGAGGGCTTCTCAGCAGAGCCCCTACCTGGAAAACCAGGGTGCTTGGTGCACTTGCAATAGCAACTCTGCAAAATCCAACATTAATTGGCTTTGGGGCGGGGTACGGGAAGTTTACTGGGGAGGCTGAGGCCAGTTCTACTCTAGGCACAGCTGGGGCGCAAACATCAGGAGCTATCCTCGGTGACTTCTAGCATCGGAAAACATTCCTTAAATCACAATGTGTCCATTGATGCGGATGCCGGGAGCTGATTATAAGGGCTCAGGATGACTCTCCCTTCTTCCCAAGTCTCCTTGGCTCCCCCCTACCTGCTGCCTACCTCTCCATCAAGCCTGTCCTCCCCTTCTGAGTCCAGGGGCCTTGTTTCTGCTCCCTTCTGCCCAAGGCCAAGAGTCCCTGCCCCTTCCTCAAAGTGGAGCCCTTGTGGGTTTTCCTACCAGAAGCCAAAATCACTCTGGGAATCCCGAGCAAAAGGAGCCAGGATCCCATTCAGGTGTCCAAAGTCCAGGGTGCCTGGCTGATTAGAGATGTCAGAGCGCTATCAGTCCTTCAAAAGGTAACCACACACTGTGGTGAAAACACAGACTCTGGGCCAATCGGGGTTTCGATCCAGGCTCTTCCCCTTCTGAGCTGTGTGATCTTGGGCATTATTTAAACTCTCTGAACCTCAGTTTCCTCACCTGGAAATGAGAATAACAAGATCTACCTCATTGGGTTTTTAATATTGTAAGATTATATAACAAGGTGCCTAGAACGATGCCTAGCACCTGGGGATATTCCGTAAGGGCTGTGTGTTCACTGGGTGGCCCATTTATCCTTCCCTTCGGACTCCGCAAACCCCTCCATGGCCATCGCCCCCCCCCACCACCACCACCACCCCACAGTTCCTCTCTTGTTTCTCTGGACCACGCCTCTGATGCTTCTCCACCTGCAGACCAAGCTACCATCTGAGGACGTGGGCTCTTTTGTCACATTTGTTTTTATTTTAAAATTGAAATAACGAATGCACATGTAAATCACATAAATAATGCAGAAGAGCTTGTCACCAAAAAGCAGCTCCCCCTGCCCCCACCCCTGCCCCCATCCTTTCCTCACAAAGTCAGTCCCTTTGACCTCTCAGGGGCCGCCACGGCAGTATGCAAAGGGACAGAGACCCCTGCCCTCTCGGGCTCTCTGAGGGCGACAGGCATGACATCATGTCTGCTGGGAGAAGGGCTCAGAGGACGACTGAGGCCGGGTAAGGAAGCCAGACAGTGACGGAGGGAGGTGACCCGAGGTGGCATGGTCCGGGAGGCTTCTCCGAGGTGACCTTTGTGTGGACACCTGGTTGAACAGAGGGAGTGAGCCGCATCCATGTCCATCTTGCTAACTAAGGGCGTTCACCCTTATTTCCTTATTTCTGGACACGGCAACTGTAAGCATTTTTGCTTGACCTCCCGCTAGAATAGCCGTGAATCTGGTTCCCTTCAGCCCCCTCCCCTCGGCCAACTTCCTCCACAACAGAGTTCCATCCCTGTGTCTCATTTTCTAGGGTTTCCTTTGTGCTTTAAAGTGACAGACCCACACCTGTGCTCCCAGCCCTTCTCCTTGGGACATCTCTGTGGAAAAATGAGGATTTTCCCCACTGTCCTCCCTTTATTTCCACCTCCCAACCTCTAACAGGCTCTTCTTATGATTTTTAGCTTCTGTCTGCCGCTAAATTTTTCCAGCTGGAGGCTTTGCAGCGACACTGTGAGATTATCTGCGCAAAGAGCATTAACACTGACAACTGTGTGGATATTTACAATCACGCCAAGGTAATCAATCCTGCCCGGGCTGCCCGGAGCATGCGCCGTGGACCCAAGTGGCTCGGGGCAGGGAGCTGATGCTGGCCTGCCCACTCCAGGCTGAGCTGCCTGCATTCCTCCCCCCTCGGCCTCCCGCTCTAGAAAAGATGCCTTGCCCTTCATCTCGCCCCTCCAGAATACAGTGAGAGCAGGAAGTTTCCAAAGCAGAGTTGTTTCTGAAACAGTGCTTCTCGAACACAAATGTGCACTTGGGTCACATTGCAGACCCTGACTCAGCAGACCCCCAGGTGGGCCCTGGTCTGCGTTTCTAACAAGCTCCCAGGTGAAGCCTCTGCTGCTGGTCTAAGCCACACCTTGAGTAGCAAGGTTCTGGAATAGTGGCTCTCCAGGTGTGTTCTCCAATCCAGAAACAGCCTCGGCGGGAAACTTGTTAGAAATGTATATTCTAGAGCCCCATCCCAGACCCCCTGAACCAGAAACTCTGGGGGAGAGGCCCACCATCTATGGCTTTGCAAGCCCTGCAGGTGACTCTGGTGCACGCTCAAGGGTGAGCACCACACTGTTCTAGAACTGACTACACAGGAGAATCACCTGGGCACTCACTTAAAATCCCTATGCCTGGGTCCTATCAAAGACCAATTAAATCTGCCTCTGGGGGGTGGAACCTGGTAAAAGGTATTTTCCAGAGCTTCCCAGGTGATTTCAGATATGGCCAAGATTGAGAACAGCCCTGGAGACCCCCAAGGGGTCCTCCTGGTTAGGTGGACCCAACACCTAATCAGAATCACCTGGGGAGAGTCTGAAATTTTTTAGCCCTCTACCCCCCAGTGGTCTCTGCAGTGGGGCTCAGGAATCTGTATATATTTTTTTAAAGATTTATTTATTTTAGAGTGAGAGAGCACGTGAGTGGGGTGAGGAGGAGAGGTAGAGAGAATCTGAAGCAGACTCCAAGCTGAACGCAGAGCCCGATGTGGAGCTCAATCTCACAACCAAGAGATCATGACCTGAGCTGAAATCAAGAGTTGGGCACTTAAGAGACTGAGCCAGCCAGGTGCCCCAGGAATCTATATAACAAGCTCCTGGGGTCCCTGTTGTGACTTCTGCCCTAAGGCCAGTCTTGACTCCAGTGTTGGGGGGCTACTGACCTCATCCAATTCATGTCACCTGTGGGGATACTGGGACCAAGAGAATTCAAATACTTTGTCCAGATGCCATTTCATTTGGTCCCATGTGCTCAGGACAGGCACATTAGCATTTGCTAGAAGAAACGATGAAATGAGTTGCAAGCAGGAATTAAAACAAAAAAGTCTTGTTCCGTGTGACTGGAGCTCAGGACACATCTCCCACATCCGCAGCGCTGTAGAGTGACAACTGACATGAATTACGCTCTCACTTTTTGGGAAAACTCAGGCTACCTTGGAGATGTTTTCTCTCTTACGCCAACACTCAAAAGGCCCTTTTAGCGTGCATTCGCCTGTGCTAAGAACCTTGACACACCTTCCTTTTTAACCCTCCCTGCAGCCCTTTTAGGTAAACACTATCATTAGTCCCATGTCATAATAAGGAAACTGAGGGGCGCCTGGGTGGCTCAGTTGGTTAAGCGACTGCCTTCGGCTCAGGTCATGATCCTGGAGTCCCTGGATCAAGTCCCGCATCGGGCTCCCTGCTCGGCGGGGAGTCTGCTTCTCCCTCTGACCCTCCCCCCTCTCATGTGCTCGCTCTTTCTCATTCTCTCTCTCTCAAATAAATAAATAAAATCTTTAAAAAAAAAAATAGGGGCGCCTGGGTGGCTCAGTCGGTTAAGCGACTGCCTTCAGCTCAGGTCATGATCCTGGAGTCCCGGGATCGAGTCCCACATCGGGCTCCCTGCTCGGCGGGGAGCCTGCTTCTCCCTCTGCCTGCTGCCCCCCCTGCTTGTGCTCTCTCTTTCTCTGTCAAGCAAATAAATAAAATCTTTTAAAAAAAAATAAATAATAATAATAATAATAAGGAAACTGAGGCACAGAGAGGTGAAGTAACTTGCTTAAGGTCACACAGCTATGGAGATTTTTTTTATTGTAGTAAATGCACATAACATGAAATTTAGCATTTTAACCATTTATTAAGTGTACATTTGACGGGCATTAAGCACATTCACACCGCTGTACAACCATCACCACCATCCGTCTCCAGAGCTTTTTATCCTCCCAAACTGAAACTTTGTACCTACAAAACACTAAGTCCCCATTTCCCTCTCCCCTCAGCCCCTGAAACCACCACTTAACCTGTCTCTGTGGATTTGACTCCCCTAGGGACCTTATGTAAGTGAGATCATGGAGTATTGGCCCTTTGTGACTGGCTTATTTCCATTAGCACAGTGCTCTCAAGGTCCATCCATGCTGTAGCATGTGTCAGAATTTCATTTCTTTTTATTTTTTTTAAGATTTTATTTATTTATTTGAGAGAGAGCACAAGCAGGGGGAATGTCAGGCAGAGGGAGAGGCAGGCTTCCCGCCGAGCAGGGAGCCTGATGTGGGACTTGATCCCAGGTCCCTGGGATCCTGACCTGAGCCAAAGGCAGATGCCTAATGACTGAGCCACCGAGGCGTCCCATTTCATTTCTTTTTAAAGCTGAATAATATTTCCTTGTATAGGGAGACCACACTGTGTCTATCCATTCATCTGTCATTGGACACTTAGATGGCTTCCACTCTTTGGCTACTGTGGATAATGCTGCTATGAACATGCCGGGGGGGGGGGGGGGGGGGGGACAAGTATCTGTCCAAGTCTCTGCTTTTAGTTCTTTGGGGCATATACCCAGAAGTGTAAGTCTAGATTTGTCTTACTCCAAAGCACAGGTTCCTAACTTTGTGTTTATTGTCTGGCCTAATAAATGTTTGAAATATGTGCAATGATTGTTGATACTCAGAAAAGATCTTCTGATTGGTCATCAGTAAATCAACAACTACAAGCTGTTTCCTACACACACACGCACACGCACACACATGCACGCACACGCACCAGGTATTTTAGTTAAGTGAAGGTTTTACCAAAATCTGGTTTCTCAGGACACAGTACATTTTTTTTTTTAATCTTAAACTGATGACTTCGCAGGAAAGCATCCAGAGGCTGCTCTCTACCCAAGAGGAGAGCCTAATTATTAGCTTGTAGTTCTTCCCCTCCCCTGGCCATGGACACTCCAAGTGCCCTGTGAACCCAGCATCCAGCAGTGGATTTGCCGTGGCCCGTCCTCTTGACAGCGATCCATTTTAATCACTCCAGGCTCCTTGGCAAGCAGCTTCCGTAGCTCTCATATTTAATAATGCAGCCGGATGCGGTGTGAGCCCAGGCTGGGAATACACGTGTGCTGCAGGCTTTGAATACCTCTGGCAGGGAGCTGCCCGTTTGGCGTATACACCTTTGTAGCCAGAGCTTTGCCTTTTACACACACCAGCCACTGCCGCGGGCCCCAGGCCACATCCTGCTGTGTCTCCAATGCAAAAGTCAGCCCCTCGTGATACTTGCATGGAGGGCAGGGCAAAGCCAGCCAGCCCGTGCCCTTTCTCTGTGCTGCTTCCCTGGGCTCTGGGTCCTGCCCCACCACTGATGATCACATGCTGCCTGGGTTCTATTCCTGGCAGACTGGGCTGCAAATTGAGGCTAGTTTAGTAAAAGATGGAAAAGAAAGAAACCAACTCTGGGTTTGGAACCCCAGGAAACACAGGCATTTACACGCTAATAACAATTCTCCAAATGTCAACGCCCTGGGCAACAATACCTCTATATGACATCTAACTGAGACAGCTGTGGAATCTTATACAGATGAGAAGACCATCCCATAAATGCATGGCTTAGCCATCTTGTTTTCCCCCAGCAAAGCTGTTCCAAACTATTCAGTCATGAAAAGGGGGTCCTGGGGGGGCGCCTGGGTGGCTCAGTCGTTAAGCGTCTGCCTTTGGCTCAGGTCATGATTACAGGGTCCTGAGATCGAGCCCCGCATCGGGCTCCCTGCTCCGCGGGAAGCCTGCTTCTCCCTCTCCCACTTCCCCTGCTTGTGTTCCCTCTCTGACAAATAAATAAAATCTTAAAAAAAAAAAGGGGGGGGGTGCCTGGAGCTTCTGATGGCCCTTTCGGATTATCTTTCAACCTGGGAAAAAGAATAGGCTGGTTCATCAAATTGAATCTAAGCTAGTGCAGTAAGCTCAACAGTGCACTGTGCTAGAAAGAACACAGGTTTGGAACCCAAGGGATTCATTAGTGTTCATCGAGCACCCACTATTTACCAGGAACTGTATTCATCAGAATATAATAAATTAGTAAGACATAGTCTCAGCCCTTGAAAAATTATAGTCTAGGGACAGAGGTCAGCAGACTTTTCTGTGGAAGGCCAGGTGAATATTTCCACACAGGCCATACGGTTGCTGTTTTACCTCCTCGACTCTGCCGCAGTCACACAAAAGCAGCCACAGATGATACGTAAATGATGGATGTGGTTGTGTTCTAATAAAACTTTATTTACCGAAGCAGTTAGTGGGCCAGATTTTGCCCACAGGCCCACAGTTTGCCAACCACTGGTCCCGGAGATGAGAGTCCCCACCCCAGTTCTGTCAGTAATTAGCTGTGTGGAGGTAGTCAAGGGTCTGATGTATAGTCACCATTGAATAAATATCACCAAATATAAATGTAAGTATTTACTGTTCTCCATTTACACTTACTGTTCCCCACTTACACTACCTTATGCTGAGTGACATTCGTATACAAAGTGAATGGCCAGGTGTGGTAAAGGGGGATGCTCTCTGTGTCCACAGAATCAAAGATAGGCAACTCTGAGCCTCAGTTTCCCATTCTGTACAGTGAGGGCTTTTACTCTGTGACTCTAAGAGCAGGGTTCATGTTGAAAGAATGAAAGCGGGCACCTGGGTGGCTCAGTTGGTTAAGCGACTGCCTTCGGCTCAGGTCATGATCCTGGAGTCCCTGGATCGAGTCCCGCATCGGGCTTCCTGCTCGGCAGGGAGTCTGCTTCTCTCTCTGACCCTCCCCCCTCTCATGTGCTCTCTCTCATTCTCTCTCTCTCAAATAAATAAATAAAATCTTAAAAAAAAAGAAAGAATGAAAGCATTCCTAAGATCTCTCCCAGCCCCAATGTGAACATTGGGTGGTAACAAGCCCTCTCACCTGATAAACCTCACCACATCTTCTGGATCTCTCAGAGACCTCATAATTACCTGGTGCCTCTGGTTCATTCCCTTCATTCTATAACTGAGGAAACTGAGGCACAGAAGAGTGATTTGATTTGCATAAGGTTGCACATGGTTTTTATACACAGAGTTGCCGTTGGCTCAGTGAATTAGCACATGACGTCAGTGAGTTCATGGTTACAGGCGTGGTCCTTCTAAGGGCCAGTTAGCTGGGCTAGGTTCTTTTTTTTTAAGATGTATTTTTATTTATTGGCAGGGGGAAGGGGCAAAGGGGGAGAATCTTTAAGCAGATTCCCCACAGCACGGAGCCTGATGTGGGGCTCAATCCCACGACCATGAGATCATGACCTGAGCCAAAACCAAGGGTCAGATTCTCAACCAACTGAGCCACCCAGGCACCCCTGGGCTAGGTTCTGTAGATACAGTCAGTTCCCTTTCTCCCAGCCTGGCCATGTACTTTGTCCATGTGGGTCACTGGATACCAGTTGGTGAGAAGGAGAGTGATAGTTTACATTTATAATGACAACTAGCAGTGAGTGCTGACTACAGTTGACCGTTACTCTGACACTCCTTGCATTATCTCATTCAGTCTCAACAACAGACTATTAAGTAGGTATTATCATCATCCCCATTTTACGGATAGGAATTTTGAGGCAAAGAGAGATTATATACTTGCCCAACAGCTGATGGCTAAAGTCATAAATCAGGAAGGAAGGAAGGAGGGAGGGAGGGAGGGAGGAAGGGAGGAAGGAAGGAAGGAAAAGGAAAGAAGGAAGAAAAGATCCCAGAGTCCCCTCCCTTAGCTCTGCCTCTCCTAAGTGTGACAAATGACAGAATCATGCCATAAATCATCCCAACAAGACTTGGGATGCTGGTGTCCTAATTCTCATTTTGAAAATGATGAACCCAAGCGAGGGGCCAAGTGACCCAGCCCTGGTCACATATTCAGGAAGGTGGGGGAGCCCCAACTTGAAACCAAGTGTTCCAGCTCATTCCACTGAAACCCTGTTAGCACTGCCTCGTTATCATTGCACCATTCCACATCTACCAACTTAAAGTGCATCTCTAGTTTAAAGGACAGGATATTAGGGAGTTCAGAAGAATGATTCAGCATTTAGATGATTTAGACAATTCATCTAAATAAAGCAGCAGGATGTCATCTCAAGGGGCACTTAACAACTTCTGAGCATCCAGTTCATTGTGATAGACTTACAAGCTTTGGAAACTGTAGAAAAGGTCTGAAGACAGCCAGCCGACATATCCACATTTACTTCTGTGCCTCAAACCTGAGTCCCTCCACCAGGCACACGCATGCAGCTAAATACCCACCCTCTGAGTAATGGTGTCAGGCTGGAGGCAATGTCTTGGTGGTTAAGCACACAGCCTTAAGGATTGAATTACCAGGGTTCCATTCCTGGTTCTGCCCTGGACGCACTGCATGATTTTTTTTTGTAAGTTACTCTCTTGTCTGTTTCCTCGTCTGTAAATTGGAGGTGGTAATACGCCTGCCTCCAGGAAAGTTGAAGATTAAATGAGATGATGCACGCGAAGTGCCTTGCAAGGTGCCTGGCGTATTGTAAGCGCTCGGTAAATGTTCACTGTGAGTCTGTTACTCTGTTAGTTAACTGTTCACTCATACATTCAACAAAGCTAAGTGTCTGCCATCTGCCAAGCCCTCGGCGTGGCCCCTGAGCTAGGTCAACATAATCCCTTCCCTACTGGCTTAGTCTGTGAGGAACCCCGTCTCTAGATCACTTTCTCAGCCTCGGCACTGACAGCTTGAGCTGCAGGATCCTCTGCGGCAGGGGCTGTCCTGTGCATCGTGAGAGCTTTAGCAGCATCCCTGGCTTCCACCCATTAGATGCTGATAGTACGTACATCACCACCACCACCCAGTTGTGACAACCAGACTGCCTCCAGGCTTTTCCAGATGTCCCCTGGGAGGCAAAATCACCCCTGGTTGAGAAACCACTGCCCTAAATCTGGGGCGTAGGTCGTCTGTGCCCACTCGGGATTGCTGTGAGAGTCGAATGGGTTGATACTTGAAGAGCTTAGAGCTGTGTCTGCAACTCCATTCATGTGCGGGTTAGCTACAGTACAACAAAGAAACGCAAAACCCAACGGTTAAACCAGTAAGCACTTTTCAGCCCCTGAGTCGACAGGCTCTCACTGAGCCTGGCGGAGGGACTCAGGTTTGAGGCACAGAAGTAAATGTGGATATGTCGGCTGGCTGTCTTCAGACCTTTTCTACAGCTTCCAAAGCTTGCAAGGCTTCTGTCTTTTGGTCTCCACGGGCCTTGCTTCTGAAGTCAGCTGGCTGGTCCTCTGTGCTTGGCTCTGGTGACCCTGGCTGGGCTCTGCCCCTGTCTCCTCTCAGTTCCCTGGAGCCGCTCACCCTCCAAGCAGGCTCGCCTGGGCCTGTTCTGCTGCAGAGCCCGGGTTCTGAGCAAGAGCAAGAGCGCCAAGTCCACACCTGGCCCCTTAAAGCTCGCTCGGGATTGGCAGCTCTCACTGCTGCCCCCTGCTGTTGGCCTGGGGAAGTCACAGGGCCAAGCCGCGGAGAAATGAGCCCCGGCCCTCTAGGCGAATACAGGGCTGTTGTCGTCGTCAGTCTACCTTCACGGCTGTTCTCCACTCATAGGCATGCAGGCAGCCAGGTGCATTTCAGAAACATAATCTCCTCCTGCTTCCTGTCTCTCTCCACAGTTCCTCGGAGTCACAGAGCTCTCCGCGTACTGTGAAGGCTACTTTCTCAAAAACATGATGGTCCTCATCGAAAACGAGGCCTTCAAGCAGCTCCTCTATGACAAAAATGGCGAAGGGACAGGCCAGGATGTGCTCCAGGACTTACAGAGGACGTTGGCCATCAGGATTCAGTCAATCCACTTGTCCTCTTCCAAAGGTTCTGTCGTATGAAACGTCCAGAGCAGGGAACGGTCCCCGGGGACTTTCCAGATGCTGCTGCTGCATCGCTTCACACAAACACATACCAAGTTCACCTGGCGTCTGTTTTTGGCTAGGCCAAGGAGCTGTCTACTGCCTCAGCTTCTCTCGAATAAGCAATTTCAGCTCCCGTGCGTTCCTGTTGAAAAACAAAGGACATGCCACTGGTCAGATGGCAGTGGGGCCCAGCGCGCGAAGGTCAACATGGGGCAGCCAAGCCAAGCCCATCGGAAAGCACCCCTGGGGCGGTCAAACACCCATCGCCGGGACCACCGTCCAATGGATGGATTGAGGACTAAAGGTCGTCTGGGTTGCCGGTTGAGAGCCGGAGAACGTAACTGGTCTGACCCTGACGAGCGTCGTGTTCCCATGAAGGACCTTCGTCACTGCAGTTCAGGGAGAGTCAGCCATGGTAGCGAATTCGCGAGACTGTTACCAATAGCGAAGAAATAATTTGGCAAATTTTTAGGGGTGGGAACTTTTTAAAATGTTCATAACAAAACAAAAAAACAGGGCAGCCTTGTAGTTTAAAATCTATTTCTAAAAGCTTAACAGTTCATTTTCAATTGAGTTGTGTTTAGGGATCTGTGTTTTGAGCTTTGTTTTTTGTTTTCGTTTTTAAAAAAACAGTAAGTTGCAGGTCTATACTATATAAACATGCATTTGACAAGATATTGCTGATAGTCTATACAAGGTAAAATAATAATCTTGCCTTAGTGATCATGGTTACACAGAGAGGTGCACTGCCAATAATTATCTCTAACTTGATAGTTGAAAACAATGTGCATGCTAATCGTGATTTCGGGGTGAGAATAAAACACCCCCACATAACAAGACATGCATTTGCATGGGCCCGAACCAGTGAAATGTTATGTTTGTGCTTCATTTTTGCCAAGGTAAAAAATGTTCCATCACTTCTTGCTAAAAATCCATTTGGTGAAAACTAGAACATATTCCTTTCCTTTAACAATGATTCTGGGATGCTTTTGCAGAAATGTGTTCATAGATGATGCTGATGGGGGGTGGGGAGGGCGCACGCCAGGGGATTTACTGTTAATCCCAAAGTTTTCTCTGTATTCTCAGAAGATGTTAATAGTTTGTTACTAGCCAGATAATATGACTATGTTAGATTATTTTTAAAGATGAAACATGTACGATAGGAAGGATTCTTTCTGTATTCTGAGAGTGTACAGTTATAGGGTTATCTGTAATGAAAGTTTATATCGACAGGGTTCCGTTTTGCTCTGCCATATATTATAAGCAAAAGAGATTGGTGAAGTGCCACAATATTCCAAGTAATTTTTGAGTTGCTGCCTTTTTTTTTTTTTCTTGTCCGTTAATTTGAAACCTAGTTAGAAACGAGAATGACTTTCAGCCTTTGGGGTTGGCAAAGTCTCATGGGTAAACCTCTTTCCTAGCATGCCTTTGCGAAGTCGTGCCCAGACCCTAGACTCTAGAGAAGCTGCTGTTACCCATCGTACTTGCTCCCTGAGCCACCGTCCAGAGGACTAATGCCAAGTTACATGGGTGTGACCCATGGAGCGCCTGGGCCGCGTCTGCCTACATCATTGGCCCTCAAGTGATTTGGATCCACGAGGCCTCTCTCCTACTTGGTCATTTGCAAACCTCCCCAGGCCCTACCATCAGATGAAGGGGGGGTGGGTGGGGGGAGAGCGAAACTGCCTGCGGAGGAGGCCACGTTCCAGAAGATCCACAGCCAGTGTGTGAGTCACCCCTGCCTCCTTCCTCCTCTGTGTTCTCAGAAATGCTGTATGATGTTCCCTTCACCACGACTGACTTCCCCGCGAATGTCTTATGCTAGCTGGGGGCCTCTGGCCTCCGAGTTGTACCGGGGCAACTCCCGACGGGCTTCTGGTATAGTCTGGTGTGTGCTTTCTCTGTCATTAAATGATTTTCCCAAGCTGCGCATCGTGTGTGTGGTATGAGCGAGCTCTTTCCCGGCAGGTGGGGCCTGAGAACTTCATTCAGTTGAAAGACTGGAAAATGTGGCCCTGCAGAAAGAGTCGAGGAAAATGAAGACACGAGGTGAAAGACGGGCTCGTGTCGTTGGCAGTGGGCCGCCACCTGTCCGCTCTGTCAAGCAGAGGTTGGTGTGCAGGCTCGAGTCCCCGGGGTCTGCATACACCTGTGGGTGCCCCCCCTTGGAGGACTTACAGGCGCCACCACCCCGGCCACTGGCCTAATGCAGCTAATCGGCCTGCAGAGCGTTTAGCTCTGGCTGTCACTTGCGTGCCTTAAGGAAGCTTTCTGGGGGGTGGGAAGATGGAGAAAAAGAAGTTTTCCCCACATGGCGTGTCTCCCACCGAGGGCCAGCCTGACTTGATGTTTGTGGTGGTGGCAGCATTCTGGGGTGGAGGGGGGTCACAGAGGGACAAGCAGCTCTCTTCTTGGGTATCCTCATCACTGAGGTCAAACCAAGGCCCCACCTGGTCCACTCTGGCCCAGCCCGGGTCTGGGTGGAGATTGATATCCCCTGGCTCACCCACAAGACCTACAGGAAGCCAGGGCAAGGAGGCCTGGGCCAGGGAGGCCCAGTAAACTGCTGACCTCACTAGCCCCTGGGCCCTGCTTAGCAGGCAAGCTCTGTTTCTTTAAGAAGTAGCCGAGGGCCGAGGGCCGGGGGCCAGAACTCTGAGTCAGGCCTGGAGAACAGAAGGTCGATTTATTTTTGGCCCTGCATCACCCTCTGTGTGGCCTCGGGTGAGTACGCCATTTGATTTATTCCTTTTGCAAAGATCAAGTATATGGTACTGCATTTGCCTTTTACTTCTCTGACGGGAGGCTTTGTCATTCAGTCCTTTGTCATTCAGTCCTTAGTGAAGCCCGTAGCATATGAGGCCCTTAACAGCTTGAGGGGAGAAGGCTGAGCCCACCTGCCCGCCACAAAGCACCCTCCACCCCTTCCACGGCTAGGAGGAACTGGAAGGAGGGTGTGCATGCAGCCACCTGATTAAACACAAAGGCCCCAACTTGGCTTCTGCGGCCCCCCAAATGCCCATGTGTGGTTGGTCTTGTATATACTGTATTTAAATGTCATCCATGCTTCCCAAAAGAAGGAGAAGCCCACCCAAAATGGGGATCAAGGTGTGAGCTCCCATCACGGGAGGCAGAAGCTAGAAGACAGTGTAGTCACCCCTCAGGGTCCGGTTGGATGGAAGGGCTTCTAAGATTTTCTCCGCTCCTCAGATTGTTTAGTCCTGTGATTCCGGTTCTGTGGCTTGCGTTGTTTTTCCCTGTGAAGCCCCAGGCCAAAAGTGTTAGTCCAGCTGGGCCTTGTTTCATCCCACCTCGTCTATTACTGCGCCGTGTTCAGGCAGGGTGGATAAAGGGTAAGGATCCCACACAGCCGTTGGAGAAAATCTTTTATTTCCCTAGTCCTGGGTTCCCTGTCGTCTTCAAATTCCGCGCTCACTCCCTCTGCCCCCCGCTTGGCAGTCGCTAGCTTGAGTCACAGACGAATGGGCGCAGATCCATATCACACCACTCTAGATCCCTTTCCGACTGGCCCGACCAGACACACTGCAAGACGGTTTCCTGGGCTTCTTGGCTTGAGGGTTAACGTCAGGGAGATGCACAGCCATTGCCAAGCTTCGGGCTGCAAGCTGGTCTGGAAACGTTCACGTGTCCAAGCCAGTACAGTCCCTGGCTAGCCCTGAGACACTGGACAAGTCACTCACAAAGTCCAGGTTTCGTTTATCTCTTCTGAAAAATTGGTGTAAATATAACTAGTTAATAGCATCGTTGAGAAGATTAAGCAAAATATTTTGTACAGGCCCTACACAGTAACAGAGAAAGGCACTTCCAGACTTGTAAGACCCAAGCAGAGGGAAGGAGAACCTGATGAATCACACAAGGAAGGGAGGGTTAACAATTCTGCCCTTCATTCCTTTTTTTAAACTATTGTTATTTAAATTCAATTTAGTTAGCACATAGTGTATTATTACTTTCAGAGATAGAATTTAGGGATTCATCAGTTGCATATAAGACTGAGTGCTCATTACCTCAGGTGCCCTCCTCAGTGCCCATCAGCTGTCCTTCATTTCTAGAACTTTCTACCGCAGCCATTCCCAGGGTGGTTTGTGATCTCTAGGGTTGTGCTACTTGTTCCAGGGAATGTGGAGAACTTCTCCAAAAACAGCTCTATTGCAATCCTAGTTCCTAGCATGGTACCTCACACAAAGTTAGTGATCAAGAAATGTTTAAGTCAATGGAAGCCAAGTTCAACTAGATTTTCCTTCATATAAGTACTGTAAATATTTCATATAAATACTAAATATAAGTACTAAAAATGCTTTCACGCTATTACTATATTTGCTAAATATTAGAGTTGCAGGGATTCGCTCTCCCTAACTCCTCATCTACTCGGGAATGTGAGACTCACATTTGTGACCCATTTGACGTGAGTCCAACGCCCCGCAAATGACCGAGCAGGGACAGACCCACTGGTTCGACTCTCAGTCCAGGGTTGGGGACCATGGCTGAAGAGGAGACAGGTAGTCACAAATCCCCAGGGGAAAAAAACACCAATTGTCAACTCCAGAAAATGCCAGGATCACTGTCCTCAACAAAGTGGCAGCTAGCCCTCGTCCTTTCCTGCCACTTGAGTATGTGGACCCTCATGCCCCACCCCTCCACTGAGAAATCCTCCTGGTGAAACTTCACATCACCTGTGTCCCTCCCAACCTGGCCCGTGCCTTGGGTAAAACAGCATGTGTCTTGGACAGGACCACCGGGAAGCTGGTAGGATGCCTATTTTTTCACACTCTTTAAAAATAACCCAGCAGATTTTAAACTTCCTGCTTGGTAGGAGAAAATAGAACTCGTACTCAGCAATCACGTTGCACATTAGTTCCCATTACTGATGAGGCAGTGGGGTAATGAGTGCCCTATGAAAGGACATGCCTCCAAGTTTAGCTCCGAACATGAAAAGACAATCTATCTGCGTGAATAGGCAATTAAAAGAGATGCCCTGTTGGCATTGATGCGTTCTTTGGATGTTGCTTTCAGAGTTAACCTCGGATGAGTTCTGAATTTTAATGCCACCTCAAAACTCTGGGATGAAGAGCTGCCAGGAGAGTTGGCAGGTGGGTGGAATGGAGGGGCTCTGGGCTCCGGGCTGGGCACCAGATCCCGCCTCCAGTCCCGTTGCTGCCATCGACTACTTGGTGACTTTGGCTGGGCCCCTTCTCCATTCTGGACCTACTCTAAATGAAAGCCTTTCTGAGCTGATGTTCTGTGCGCCTAGACTGAACATGTCACACTCCTCTTGCTACACTCATGTATTAGAACCTTGCGGTAACACCATTTAGTGGGATAGAACATTCTGGATTGCATCCAGAAGGACTTAGGTAAAGGAACCTCAGTGTACAATGATGTCTTTGGTAAAAGAGGCAAGAAATCAAGTAAAAGCCTTACAACAAGGCTCCGTGGATGTTTTACGATGAGGATGCATCTCATCAAATCATAGCCTTCGTGACCACCATCTCCTTTTTGTTTTGTTCATTTCGCTTTTCGTTTTTAAATAATTACAGATTCACAGGAAGTTGTGAAGATAGTACAGAGAGGTCCTTGTACCCTTCACCCACTTCCCCCCAATGGAGGCATTTTAACTGTCTCTAGTACGATATCGAAACCAGGAAATTGACATCGGCACACTGCATGTGTCTAATTCAATGCCATTTTGTCACGAGTATAGATCCATTTTACCACCACCCCAATCACTGCTCTGCACCACAAAGGTGTCCCTGTGCCCCCCCTTCCTAGTCACTCCCACGCCCTTCCTCCTCTCATACAATCCCAGCCCTGGCAGCCACAGAACTGTGTTTTACCTCTACAGGTTTGTCATTTGGAGAATGTTCTATAAATAGAACTGTTCAGTAAGTGGCTTGCTTCACTCTGCACAATGCCCTTGAGATCCATCCAAGGATGTTGCAGGTATCAAGAGTCTGTTCCTTTTTATTGCTGAGTAGTATCCCCCCCCACCATGTCCCATGTCCTTTTAACCAAATGCAGGCGTGCGTCAGGAAGTATGGCAGTAAGACAGCTTGGCTCTGACGGCTAGTTCTCTGCTTGTAGCTCCCAGAAAACAGTGATGTGTCTTGAGAGCCGGACATGACTTTCTCATCCTGCAGCATCGAGGGGAGACTGTTTTGTGACGTTAGTCCAACACTTGGGTGTTGGTCATGGATCATAGGAGACCACTGCTTTCACATGGCTTAAATGGTCCTTCAGCTTCTACCATTGACGGACTTCTCCATACATCTCACTGGTGGGGTAGGGAAGCGCTTCTCAGGCTCACTCTACGTGCACATCACTGGGGATCTGGTTGAAATGCAGGTTCTGATTAAGTAGGGCTGGGTCAGGCTTGAGATTCAGCATTTCCAATAAGCCTCTAGGTGATGCTCATGCTGCCAATCGGGGAGGCATCGCTTGAATAGCAGAAGTGTCAAGTATGGAGGTCAGAGATTCATCTCCAACCCTTTCTGCTGCCAGACTAACCCTTGGCTTCTGTCCTGTCACCCGCCTCTCTGGAATCTCAACCTTGTGGGTTATTATGAGCCTTTCCTTCTGTCCCAGACTATGAAGACATTTTAGCCATACATCTGGGGAACTCATTTGAAATTACATTTTCCTAGGTGGAGGGTTCAAAGAGTCTAAATTGAGCCCAAGGAATTATTCACCCACAACCCCATTCTACCTTCACTTTTCCTGGTCTGCTTTTAGTCCAAATCAAATGTATTTATGCGCTGGGTGTTTACTGATGGCCTAGCACGCATGTGGGACCTGCTTCTCTGTTGTGGCACAGAACATCCATCCTTTCTCACTTTGGTTTTCCGTTTTCCTTCAGTATTGGTGGAGGAGGAAAGAAGAAAACTCTTGTTTATTGTAAGACTTTCATGAGACTTCTTTCTGGGCTCACAGAGCCCTCCTGAGAGTGGCAAGGACACCAAGGAGGACCAAGAAGGGAACAATCAAAGACAGCTGTCCCTCCCATCTTTGCTAAAATTACTTGGATAGTGGAGGAGGATGAGGGAAGCATCTGGTTCAAAATGGCTGCTGGGTAAGCTTGAGACTTGTCAGCCAGTTGCTGTGGGGAATGAGTGGGTGGGAAGAGGAAAGAATGGCAGGTTTTATCCATAGTTACTCTCTACTTTCTTTCCTTGTCAAGCGAATGACTGAATTTTCAGCACTTCAAAGGAATCACTCTCATATATTAAATATTGTGGTTGTGGGGGGCGCTCAGAGATTGTTTTCTGTTGAACCAGTAATAAGAAAGTACAAAGTCTTTTTTTTCTAGAAGTTCTTTAGACCAGGGAATGAATCTCTACCCCTGCTATGTGAGAGTTTCAGCTGGCCAGTGAGTTTAATGAAAATCAGCAATATGATATAGTTGCTTAGAAGAGCTCATTTAGCTGTAGGCTACGTTAATAGAAGCATAATCACTAGAATGAGGAGGTGATGATGCTCCTCTCTGCACTGAGGAGATCCCTCCTGGAGTTGTGCATTCGGTTCAGGGTCTGCATGAGTCAGGGTTCCTAGAACAAGCAACTCTGGCAAATTTAAGAAGAAAGGGGATTTGGGGCGCCTGGGTGGCTCAGTCGGTTAAGCGACTGCCTTCGGCTCAGGTCATGATCCTGAAGTCCCAGGATCGAGTCCCACATCGGGCTCCCTGCTCAGTGGGGGGTCTGCTTCTCCCTCTGACCCTCCCCTCTCTCATGTGCTCTCTCTCTCTCATTCTCTCTGTCTCAAATAAATAAATAAAATCTTTAAAAAAAAAAGAAAGGGGATTTATTCAAAGATATTAGACAATTCAGACACTTGATGGGCTAGAGAAACTATTTGAAAGGCAGAGCTTCTAGGGATCACTTACCAACCATGACCCAGGAAAGGCCTGATGAAGTCCTTGCTGCCACTTCTGCCACCAAATACTATGAAGGCCGAAGTCAGTAATGGCAGCTCCATGGTGACGGAGAACTTGATTTCTAGGACGACTTCGGCCACAAGCACGAGTACCACTCCAACCTCAGGACTTAACCTGCAAACCCAGCAAAAAGTTCAGCACCTCTGCCTCCACTTGAACCACAAAACGGAAGCTCCCATTCCCTGGTGGTGTCCCCTTCAGAGTTAGACTTTCATTCCAGCACAGCCGACTGGCAGAACCTCGGTCACATGACTATGCTTACCTGGGGCGGGGGAGGGGGGGGGGAGGGGCCGGGAGTTTCAGTTCTCTCTGCTGCCTTCAGGGGACAGGACGGATCCCAGGGGATCTCTGTGGAGAAAGATGATGGGCGACCATGAACATGACAGATGTCCCCTGTACTTAATGAAGGTCACAGACTTATCAGAAGAAAGTAACCCGACAGTGAAAGAGCGGCTGAAAGAACTGGGATGTTTGGCCCGTAGAAAGGAAGACTTGGGTATGAATAAGAACTTTTAAAAGTCAGAGCAAAGCATTCCAAAGATGGAATGAGCTGACACAGGGGCAGTGAGTTTCCCATCACAGGAAGCATTCAAGAAAATGCTAGTCAACCACTTGATAGAGATTCAAGCAATAAATGGGGGGTAGAATTTAAAGGTCCCTTACGACTCAGAGATATTGTCATTATCAGTTCTCTCCTTCTGATATTAATCATCTATCTGGCCTCAGAAAACCGATCCATCTTGATATATCTTTTATAGAATTTGTAATGACCTCCCTGCCTTCATTTTTTGTCAGTGCCGGATTTTATTAAAGCCTGCCACCCCATTTATCCTCATCATGTTAGTGAGGCAGCAGATCAATTCATTACTCCTACTTATCTAATACAGAAGGAAGAGAAATGGTCTACAAAACCTCACCAGCTGGGAAGAGAAAAAGCAGCTAGCAGCAATTCAGTTACTGAAAAATGGGACTTCTTTTTATAAAGGGGGAAAAATGGATTTCAGTAAAGCAATCGAGTTAGGGAAGGGCCATTTCTGAGAGTAGAATGAAATCCAGGTCTGGGAAATTGCACGTGTCAACACTGCATCAGTTGCGCATTTTTAAAACCAGATTCAACAGAGAAAAACCAGGAGTCGTGCGTCAGTTTGGCCACGGGTGCCTGCCAGCCTCAGTCTTCCCTCTACGTAATGGGGATGTCGCTGCATTGACACAGCAGGTGAGGGAGAGGCCCGACTGAAGTGATGGCAGGAGGTAAGGCTCAGTCACAACGCAGCACTCCTTGCCCCCCAAGCAGGGGGGACGCAAGAGGGAAGCTGGCTGATGGGCTCACTCCACCTCGGTCCCCCCAGGCCCGCAGTGGCTCTGTCGGCATCCTGCCCAGGGCCGCCTACCAGCTCCCCTCCTACCACACTGTTGGCTTCCAGGAGTCACCCACCAGGGTCCACTTTAATTCATGACACTCCCTTGACAGCCTCACTCCCTGGAGCCCCCGGGGGGGACCCCAGCCTTGTGTTCCTCTCCTGCTCTGAGCTCTCAGGTACGGAATCTTACTAGGTACCTGTCAGCCGGTTGTCACATTTCGTCCCAGAGGTGATGGAAACAATGCTCAAGTATCATGCCTCTGTGTGCCGCTTTGAAGATGCTTCCATGTGGCTGAAATGTCATTTCCAGTGCACAGGAGGGTGGTGCGTTTCTCATCCCTCTATATCGCATGTCCCTCTTTTACACCTTTGAGTGCAGAAATTGGCCTGGAAGGACAGGGTCGGTTTTAGAGAATGCTCTCCTGACAGATGAAGGGCTGCCACAGCTCAATCCTGTGCAAGAGACACCTGCAATGTATAGAAATATGAAAATAAGTAAAATCCGACATGGCTGTGACTCATCACAGTGAGATCTAATGTTTATTGAGCTTTTATCATGCGGCAGACACTGTCCCGAGTGCTTTATGTGCATTATCTCCATCCTCACGAAGACTCCTACGGGATGGGGCGCCTGGGTGGCTCAGTTGGTTAAGCGACTGCCTTCGGCTCAGGTCATGATCCTGGAGTCCCTGGATCGAGTCCCGCATCGAGTCCCGCATCGAGTCCCACATCGGGCTCCCTGCTCGGCAGGGAGCCTGCTTCTGCCTCTGACCCTCCCCCCTCTCCTGTGCTCTCTCTCTCTCTCATTCTCTCTGTCTCAAATAAATCTTAAAAAAAAAAAAAAAGGCTCCTACGGGATGGGGATTTGTATTCCCATTTTACAGATAGGGAAACTGAGGTGCAGACAGCAAGGCTAAAAGTGCGTGCGGCGCCAGAATGTTGGTGCAGACTGTGTGGGTCTGACTTCTAAGCAAGCTCTAAGTCTTCGCCATGCTCTTTGTTTAAAATGCCTCCTTTCAGGGCCCCTGGCTGGCTCAGTTGGGGGAGCATGCAGCTCTTGATTTCAGGGTTGTGGGCTCGAGCCCCATGTTGGGTGTAGAGATTACTTAAAAATAAAATCTTTTTTTTTTAAGATTATTTATTTATTTGACAGAGAGAGAGAGCGCGCACGCATAAGGAGGGGGAAGGGCAGAGGGTGAGGGAGAAGCAGGCTCCTGGCCGAGCAGGGAGCCTGATGCAGGGCTCTATCCCAGGATCCTGGGATCATGACCTGAGCCGAAGGCAGATGCTTAATGACTGAGCCACCCAGGTGCCCCTAAAAATAAAATCTTAAAAAATAAAAAGAATTTAAAAATTAAAAAAATAAAAGAAAATGTCTCCTTTCAAGGGAGGTGGGAAAATGAGATCCTTCTCTCCTCTCTGCTGCTTTAAAAAAAAATGACCATTCAGATAGCTATTCAGAAGAGGAAGAAAAAGCCTTCTGGGGTCAGGCGAAGGTTAATCATGTGTATCTGTGGTGAACTGTTATGCCAAAGTCAGCTTCTTCCAGATGCAGTTTTTTGTGTGTGAGTTTTATTTGGGTGAGACAGGAATGTTGAGTGGTGTAAAGGTTCAGATCAGATGGACCAGTACTCAATGGGTATTGACCACCACTGGGGAGAGAGGCAAGGAAGCTGGGGTCCCTCAAGGTGCTTCCTGACACAGACACAGTCTGGGGACAGAGTTGCTGCCAAGCCAACTCTTGGCGTGAAGGGAACCCCCCACACACACACCTCTTGGGCAGATGGGCCCAAAGTCACACTGATAGTCAAGGTCACGCTCAGCAAGGCCATGGGTCATACAGGAGACATGGTTGGCCCATTATGCCTCTGAGCCCACACCTTTCCCATCTCAGATTTTTGGCTCTTATTGGGCCGAAGTCCCACCCACCTGGGTCCTCAGCCGTGCTGATAAGTAGAGAAAGCCCCCGGGAGAAGTTCCCTAATGGCTAATTTCACCCCCGAACAGCGACTTGGTGATGGGCATCGCTGACCCAGGGGCGCATACCTAAGAGGCTCCTCCTGGCCTCTAAGACTTGCGCTCTGTCACTCGGGGGATGCAGGGAGCCGGGTGTGGTTTATTTCTCTTTCTGGGCCCAGGGAACAATCTGAATTTGGGAGGTTTGGGTCTTAGTCCCTTGTTAGAGCCGAGAAAGACTTCAAAGACTCAACTGCTTCACAGAGCTTCGTAAAAGAGGAAAGGCCCCCAGAGCGTGTGAAGTAAGGCCTCCTTCATTCCCTTCCGAGGGGGAAGACGGTGAACCCCAGGCCTCGTGCCTGCTCCACATTGACCCAGCCGCTCCTTTTGGCCTCCATGCAGAGGACGAGCGGTTCCCTTGCTCTCTGCTGCCATGGGAACTAGAAAAACAAATTTTGCTTTTAGCTGCAACCTCTCAGAAGCACCAAAATATAAGCCACCAGAAACTCCTCAAGCTTACCTGGGCATTCTAGTTTATTCATGGTTGTTGGGTTTTGTTTTGTGTTTTAAGATTGATTGATTGATGGACTGATTTTAGAGAGAGAGCGTGTAGGGAGTGGGGGGTAGAGGGAGAGGGAGAATCTCAAGCAGACTCCCTTCTGAGCACAGAGCCCAATGCAGGGCTCGATCTTACCACCCCGAGATCACAACCTGAGCCAAAACCAAGAATCAGACACTTAACCAACCACACCACTCAGGCTCCCCAAGGTTGTTTTTTTGTTTGTTTGTTTGTTTTAATGGGCCAGTTTGACCTGCAACCCAGTTCTGTCTGCTCCCATTCAGACAGTACACACAGCATCTTCACCTTCAAAACCTCTGTACTCCAGGGAGCAGAGCCCAGGGGCAGACTGAGAAAGCCCAGGACACGCATGGGTTTTGTTGTCTCGCTTTGCGTTGGTAAAACCAGGAGACAGGTGACTTCTAGTTCTGCGCTTGTCAAGGCAGCGGGAAGTCAGGACATGGAACAACAGATGGTGTGGCCGTGGGCGCAGGCTGAGCTGGGAGGAGGGTCGTCCGAGGGGCTTTCAGGAACACCAGCCTCAAGGAAGGGCCTCATTTTGGGTCTGTGGTGTCCATCATCCCGGGCTTGTGTTAAAGCAGAGTGGCAGAGAGTAGGTAGGATGGGCCGGAACCGAGGAGTTTTCTGGTTGGGTAAAGTCCTTTAATTGTCCTCCGAGGAGGTTACAGGTCAGATGCTTCTCCTTCTGGGGCCTCTTCCATTTCACAGGAGAAAGAGAGCACAGCAGAGAGTAGGACCCCGGCCCCAGGACCAGCGCACCAGCCGCATACCTCCTTCGCCCCCGCTGTTGTTGTTGGCACCTCGGGGCAAGTCCGATGCTTCCTCGGCTCCCCCATTGTTTCTCCACTGCTTGGGGTTGGTAGCGTTTCCTAAAAGAAGTGCTCCATTCCCTTGCTTCTCGGAGTGGGGCCCACAGACAGTCGCATCGAGCTCATGGGGAGTTTGTTGGAAATGCTGAATCTGACCCCTTACCCCTGACCTAATGCCCTGGAATCTGCATTTTCCCCCGAGCACCTGGAGTCTGAGAAGGGCAGGCTGCTGTGACTGCATCAGGCCCTTCTGTCTCTCTAAGGACACTGCAGATGTGCCTGAAAAGGTGATCTATAGATGGCAAGGACTTGGGGAGCAGACCGGGGTGCGGTGCGGGAGAAGATCCTTAGGGTGTTTGATTCATTGTGCTATAATGAGTCATTTTTAAGACCGCCACGCTCTCTGAGAGTCTCAGAGAGTCAACTGTGCATCCTTCTCTTGCCAATGGTTTCTCCCCTGACTGGAGGTGGGAGATGCTTTTCCAGCCTGCTGTCAATGTCTAGTAAATTACCTTACCTGCTTCTTTCCTGATGTCTCTCACCAGGGCAATCCCCCTTTCCAGCCACCTGTTTCTGCTGACAACTTTAGGAATTAGCTTCTTTAACAAGCATTAGATAAAAATCATCCCACTCTGAGGAAAAATGACACAGAAAATTAAGGGCTGTTTATAAAACTGCATACACATGCATGAGGTTTGCCAAAAACAGCTTGTGTCGCAAGTAGGGCAGACAGGCCACTATGGGCAGGAACGGAGAAGAGGACTGAAGGAAAGAATTGTGAAGGCTTGAAAGAGGATGTGTGAGCTCGGGGACCCTGTGGCAGTCTGAATCAGCTTCCTTAGAAATGCTCATGAGAGCATGAACCTTATAACAAGAAACTGTGATTTTTTTCAGAGTGCCCCAAACTCCTAGGATTCCAGCCCTTCGGTTCTGTCTCTATATCCCTATTGATGAAACATGACTTTTTTTTTTTAAGATTTTATTTATTTATTTGAGAGAGAGAGAATGAGACAGAGCACATGAGAGGGAGGAGGGTCAGAGGGAGAAGCAGGCTCCCTGCCGAGCAGGGAGCCCGATGCGGGACTCGATCCAGGGACTCCAGGATCATGACCTGAGCCAAAGGCAGTCGCTTAACCAACTGAGCCACCCAGGCACCCCGAAACATGACTTTTTCATCCCCGGGAGACCAAGGCTTTGCCTCCAATGCAGCATAGAGGAGAATGGATCAATTATCTAGATAATTCAAGGACAACCTCCCACTTCAGCCACCTCTGTGCACAAACCATCGTCATGTCCTTCACCAAAAATCTCTGGCCAGGGACACTAACCCCATGATTGGGACTTGGTTTAGCAAACCACCTGCCTTGTGACACTATGGCATGGTTGCGGGGCGGGGGGGAAGATTTTGCCCCCCGGGAGCATTTGGCAATGTCTGGAGGCGTTTGTCGTTGTCCCAACTGAGGGAGAGAGATGCTCCTGGCATCTAGTGGGCAGAGGCCAGGAGGCTGCTAACCATTTCACAAGGCACAGGACACGTTCCAACGCAGAATTATCCAGCCCCCAATGCCAGTAATGCCAGAGTGGAGAAGCTCTGTTCCAGGGAGATGGGTTTGGGTCTCCACTCACTGCGCAGCATGATGGTATGGAAGGAATTTCTTCCCCATAGGTTCCTGAATCACAGGAAAATCAACGGGAACAGTCTCTAGCGATGAGCTCAGATTCTCCACTGCCTCCCCCAGAGCCATGGTCAACCACATTCAGCCGGGTGATCACGGGCTTCCTCAGACAGCAGAGCACGCTCATTTATATTTCATCTTCCAGGGCATCTCTGGGGGTTAATGTTTCGCAGTCCTGCTACTTTGGCATAGATCGGGGCCTCTGGGAGGCCAAGAGAAACCCAGGTCACATCTGTTTTGGAAGCTCCAGGTATAAAAAAAAAATGAAGAAAGGCAAAAATAAGATGATAAAAATTTCAATTCATTTTAAAGATTTGCAAATAAGAAATTAATACTTCTACCCACAAAGAATGGAATCAATATACCCAGACCGGTCACAATATAATTGCAATATCTATACATTCCATATATTCATTCATAGTGTCTACAGGCAGGGTCGTCCTGTAATGGGGTCTAACCCTGAGAGTCCACAGTGAAAGTTGTCCTTTCTTGAGTCCTGCCAATGTCTCTCTGTGACCATGAATAGGCCTTACTTGGAAAAATAGTAAAGATCTAA